AATATACTAAACATTTATCAGAAAGAATATAGGCTGTGTTAACTTTGAGGATACGCTGGAAAACATTTTCTCCATTAAAACTAACACAAAGCAGGCCCTGGCTGGGTAGTTCAATTGGTTAGAGCATTGTTCCCCTAAGCCAAAGCTGAAGGTTCAATCCCCGTCAGGGCACATGTAAGAATCAATCCATGAATGAATAAATAAGTGGAACAACAAATTGATGTTTCTCTCTCTCTCCTTTTCTCTTTCTAAAATCAGTAAGTAAACATTTTAAAATAAAATATAAATAAAACACAATCCACTAGCTCTATTTAAAAACTGCTTTCAGGCACTGGCCAGTGCAGCTCAATTTGTTGGACATTGTTCTATAAATCGAAAGTTGTGGGTTCAATTCCCAGTGAGGGCACAAACCTAGATTGCAGGTTTGGTCCCCAGTTGGGGCGTATGCAAGAGGCAGATGATTGATGTTTCTCTCCCTCTCTTTCTTCTTCCCTTTCCCTAAAATCGATGAAAGAAATTTTTCTGATTGTCTTTCAGGATTTTTCCATCAAAAGGCTTAAACACACCTAAAAACTACAAACCTCTAAGGGTTAATGACTTTAAGAAGACACTCTCTATTCTACTAAATCAACAGCCACCAACTCCCATAACTGCACTGTGGAATCACCAATCATTTTTCTGATAACAAGACAGCATTCACTATTCAAAACTCAGGCTAGATCCAGTTAATGAAACAAATATATCCCTTTATACTGATGATCTATACTGAAATGTATGAGCAAACCAAGCCCTAAGTAACTGAAAACAGGGGGAAGGTCACTATCTACAGAAACTTATAATAAATTTTGAAAACCTTTTGTAGAGAAAATAATTATCATCCAATTTATTTGTTTGATAAAACTGAATTAGGAAAAAGGAAAGGCTTTATTTTAAATGGCATATACTTTTGCTTTACCAAAAACAGTTTCTGGTTTTCACAAAATGGATTAGACACCTATTACATAACACATAACTAATAATGGGGTTAATAGTACATCAAAATTAATGGAAAGAAATTTATCAGTAATTGAAGGCTTTGTATGCCTGAATTAAATCACTTTCTTAATCGTCCATTTTCTAATTTCAAAAAGCATGGGCATCAAAAAGCTTTAATTTATCTGCATTTGCTTTCAGAACTTAGAACCCTAACTAGCCAGGTAGCAATGACTCCCAGAAGACCACTACCCATACTCATGGGCCAGCTGCCAAGTCCAGCATTCTTTGTTTTCTCAAATTCGAGCTGTAGTTGTTACACTAAACTCTGTGCAGTTAAAAAAAAAAGACAGAAAGAAAACAATGTCCTAAAAGAGTGCTTCTCAAAATGCAGTTGGTCCTCAGACCACAAACAGCAAAATCACCTGGGAATAACACAGCAACACCACAGAATCCTGGTCGCCACCTGCAGCCACTCTTTCTCAGAGGCCGGGCCTGGGAAATCCACATTTTAAAATGAATACTCAAGTGAATTCCTAAATTACCGATGCTCTCAGAGGAGAAGGTAAAAAAGATCTGGTCATTACAGACCGTGTTTGTTTGTTTGTTTTAATGGGGGAGGCAGTGAGGGAGAAAAAAATCCTGCTACTAAACAATATTAGAGATCAGTGTCCTAGAGTAAAGCAGGGACTTCTTAAAAGAAAAAAAATAATTACTTCCTTAGAAATCAAAATTTTCATTGGCAAAACTCCGCCATATTACAGTCTTTTATTGTCCGATGTCAAAACCAATAACGTTTATTGAAATTGAGTCTTTGATCATAACAACAGCCAACATTTACTGAGCAACTGCAGTGCGTCGGGCACTGCGCTAAGTACTCAGCATCTTGTTTCACGGACTCCAGACAACGTATGGGGCAGGCACTGTTATTATCCCCGTTGTCGCATCAGGAAACTAAGGCTGGAAAGCACTGCAGCAACTTGCTGAAGATCACAGAGCCAGTGTGCGATGGAGCCGGAGCTCGAACCCAGGTCTGCATGACTGCAGAGTCGAGTCGTTACAGGGCACTGCCTCGGGCTGCACCCAAGCACTCATCCTACAAACAAGCAAAGGCTGAAGGAGGATGACATAAGTCCCCTTTAGACCTGCAATCTAGTTGAGAGAGAAAAATTAGAAAAAACGAGTATCTGCGGAAGTGCCAAGAAAAGGCAGAATAAAGGAGAAAGTGGGAGTTGAACAGGAAGGGATCCCCGTGGAAATGAGTGTCACTGGCCCCTCAGTCCCTGCACACTCACCGATCTAGGAACAATGGGAATACAAATAAACCTAGACCTTCACGGGGCGCATTCACGTCATGCTGGGAAGGACAAAAGACGTCAGGCACACAATACACAACCAGCAAAAAAGTAGAAAATAGTACAGAGCTTCATTCTAACAAACACTTCAAAGGCATACAACCACCTAAGATAAAAAAAAAAAGTACGAGAAGAAACCAACCACTGGAAACTGATCCAAGAATCAGGGAAAGACTCCACCTCGACCAGGGACTGGACGGTGTGAGCAGGGTGATTCTCAAGACACGACCAGGCTGGAACTGTGGCATCCACGCCAAAAGCCGCAGGGAAACATCCTCTCTGTGTATCTTCATAAACAAAACATGTGTCCCTCGTTTATTTGCACAATAAATAAACTTGAGCTAAGTATCTGGAGGAGAAACTAAGGCACAGAAACCAAACAACCTGCCTCCAAGGTAAAGCTTTAAAGTGTCATCCAACAGGGAACTCCATTCCTAAGAGACCTGGCGTTCGTGGAAACCGGACACGGTCTTCCTTAGAGAGGTCCGTGTGGCTGCGGACCTCGGGGTGGACGCCACTGGGAGGTCAGGGGTAACGTCTCTCCCACGGAGTCCTCGTGGGGGAAGCTGAGACACAGCCCAGCCAGTCCGAGAAACAGTTCACTTACTCCATGCACAGGTAAGTAACACAGAGGCCCGGCACTGCCGCTGGATGCTCGGACTCCACAGGTGAGCGGCACCTCTCCTGCGCGAACTGCGATTTCAGCCTAGCAGCAAGCTCTGCAGACCGCGTTGTTTTTTTTGGCACAGGTGCACCACTCAGACTTCTTAAAGACATCAGATACCCAAAACGCCAACATTCAAACCGAGTTTCTGCCAAACCCTGACTGACCTTCCGGGAACCCTGGTGGTTTAAGAGTATCAGTGCAGGTTTGGCTGGTGCCAACTCATACTGAGGTAGGCCACGACTCTCCTCCATGCCTCAGAGCCACCTCAACACCGCTCTGAAACGGCCTCGCACCTGGAGTCACCAACTCGAGGGTTACGGTGGCCTGACTGTCTGGAGCCATGTGCATGTCCGCGGACACTGGGACCGGAAATCAAATCTTAGTCCAGGCCTCCAAGCATTTCAGACAGGACGGCTCCGCTCCGCACGATCCCGGTCGTAACAAAGATCGTTCTCCTAACGTGGGCTACGAGCAACGGCGTCTAGAAATCCTTGTGCCACTTCCTCCATCTTCAAGTTCGGGTGCGGGAGGTGTCCCAGGACGATCAGAGCGTTTTTCACGCCACCTACAACGCTTTTCCTCCCTCGCTCTCTGTCACCCCAGGGCACGCCTCACCCTCCAGGAGCTCAGCTCTGCCCAAGCTCCGCAGTGGTTGGGAAATAACCGCAAGAGAAGGCGGGCTCGGTGACCACACTGCTCCCTGAGCGAAGCGCGGCCAGGGAACCGCAGAGGAGGGGGAAACGGACGGCCCGGCCCCCCCCCCCCCCAAGCTCCGTGCTAGCCCGACAGAGACCCCGAAGAGCATCTCCACGCAGCTGATGGGTGAAGGGCGTGGCGTCGGAGAAGACGGCCCCCGTGCACGTGTGTCGCCTTCACCGAGACCCTAATCGCAGGCTCCTCTGGGGGTTAAGGTCACGGCGGCGGCGGGCAAGACCAGAAAGCGGGGAGACACTGCGGGCCGGGGAGCAGCAAGTGACAAGGACGGTGAACTTGAGCAGGAGGATGGGGGAGAACGGAAGGCACTGCAAGCTGCAACGCGGAGGGCGGAGGTGCAGGTTCGGGCTCCGCGGTCGGGCAGAGCGGGGTCTGAACCCTCGCCCTCAGCAGCTGGCTGGCTGGTCCCGGGCCGGGGCTGTGAGTCATCTGCAAAACAGCAAGTGCCTCCGGGGTCACGAAAATTCCGACGCGATGCACGGACAGCGCTGCCCCAGCGGCCGGCGCCAGGAAGCGCTCCGCGAGGAAGACCGGCTCTGTCTTTTCCGAGTTTCGGCGCCGCGGCCGCGGAGCCCGGGGCAGTGCCGGGGACCTCCCGGAGGATGATCCAGGCTCGTCGGCAGACGGAGCCGTCGCCGGGGAACGTGACTAAGTGGATGAATGAACGGCTGCGAGGAGGAGGAGGACACACACTGCGGGGAGGTGGCGCGAAACACGTCCTAACGAGGACACCCGGGCAGTCGCCGGGGTCGCGGGTGCGGGGGCTCCGCCGCCGGGCCACCGCGAAGCGCCCCGTCGCGCCTCGAAGGAGCGTCACGCCGGACGAGGAAGCGCGGTCGGGGGGGAGGCGCGGGACCGAGGGAAGCGCCCACGGGGACAGGGAAGGAAGGGAAAGAGACTGGGTGAGGACACCGAAGGCCGGCGCTGACGGCAAGGCAGAGGCACCGGCCCCCTTCTTGGAGAAGTCGCCTCCGATCCCCGCGTGCGAGGACCGTTTGGACGTAACCGCCTCCCGTCTCGGCGCCCGTTCACCTAACTTGGCTTCGCCCCGCCACTGCCGCCACATCTCGCCACCAACTCCCGCCCCGTTTCCACTCGGCTTCCACCCAACGCCTCACAGCCACCCCAGCTGACTCGGCCCGCTCCGCACCTCACACACGGCTCGCCGGCGGCCGCCGCCATCTTCGCGCGCGCGCGCGCGCCCAACCCCGCCCCCAAACGCGGTGCCCACGTGACAGCTCGCTTCTTAAACGGGCGCGTGGACTGGGCTTTCCGTCACGTGACAGCGGGGCGGGGCCAAGATGGCGAGCCCCAGAGAGGTTAGGATCCCGTGTGTAGGGCAATCGAGGGTGTGATGAAGGCGGAAGGGCGGCGACTTCTGTGCCGTAGGTGGGACGTGGTGGAGGGTGGCCGGGCACCAGCTATCAAGAGTCAGAGAGTGCCCTGCAGTGGAGCTTGCGGCCTCGCAGCTGAAGAACGGAGAGAGAAGGTGCTGGCTGGGTGAAGCTGCGGCTCTCTGCCTGGCAGGGCTTGAGGGGCCCAGAGTCCAAGGCGTCCCTAGTCACCCCGGTGTGCGCGGGGTCCCAGGTCTGGAGACATGACCCGAGAGCGCGCTTCCCCGGCCCCGGAGACCGGAGCTTCGCTGAGCGGGTCGCTGCTGGCAGAGGCGGCGGTGGTGTTTGCAGTGGTGCTGAGCATTCACGCATCCGTGTTGGACCGATACTCGTGGTGCGCCGTGGCCCTCGCAGTGCAGGCCTTCTATGTTCAATACAAGTGGGACCGGCTGCTGCAGCAGGGAAGCGCCGTCTTCCAATTCCGGATGTCCGCAAACAGTGGCCTCCTGCCCGCTGCGATGGTCATGCCTTTGCTCGGACTGGTCATGAAGGAGCGCTGCCAGGCTGCTGGAAACCCATACTTCGAGCGCTTTGGAATCGTGGTGGCAGCCACTGGCATGGCAGTGGCCCTCTTCTCGTCAGTTTTGGCACTGGGCATCACGCGCCCGGTGCCCACCAACACTTGTGTCATCTCAGGCTTAGCCGGATGTGTCATCACTTATATCATGAAGCACTCACTGAGTGTGGGTGAGGTCATCGAGGTCCTGGAGGTCCTGCTGATCTTCGTCTACCTCAACATGATCCTGCTCTACCTGCTACCCCGTTGCTTCACTCCTGGGGAGGCACTGCTCGTGCTGGGTGGCATCAGCTTCATGCTTAACCAGCTCATCAAGCGCTCCCTTACTGTGGTGGAAAGCCAGGGGGACCCAGTGGACTTCCTCCTGCTGGTGGTCGTGATAGTGATGGTCCTCATGGGCATCTTCTTCAGCACCCTCTTTGTCTTCATGGACTCAGGTACCTGGGCCTCCTCCATCTTCTTCCACCTTATGACCTGTGTGCTGGGCCTTGGCGTGGTTCTGCCCTGGCTGCACCGGCTCATCCGCAGGAACCCCCTGCTCTGGCTTCTTCAGTTTCTCTTCCGGACAGAAACCCGAGTCTACCTCCTAGCCTACTGGTCTCTGCTGGCCACCTTTGCCTGCCTCGTGGTGCTGTACCAGAATGCCAGACGGTCATCTTCGGAATCCAAGAAGCACCAGGCCCCCACCATTACCCGGAAGTATTTCCACTTCATTGTGGTAGCCACCTACGTCCCAGGTATCATCTTTGACCGACCACTGCTCTACGTGGCCGCCACTGTATGTCTGGCTGTCTTCATCTTCCTAGAGTATGTGCGCTATTTCCGCATTAAACCCCTGGGCCACACTCTGCGGAGCCTCCTGTCCCTCTTCCTGGACGAACGAGACAGCGGACCGCTCATCCTGACACACATCTACCTGCTCCTGGGCATGTCCCTTCCCATTTGGCTGATACCCAGGCCCTGTACACAGAAGGGTAGTCTCGGGGGAGCAAGGGCTCTAGTCCCCTATGCCGGAGTCCTGTCCGTGGGCGTGGGTGACACGGTGGCCTCCATCTTTGGCAGCACCATGGGGGAGATCCGCTGGCCTGGAACCAAAAAGACTTTTGAGGGGACCATGACATCTATATTTGCCCAGATCATTTCTGTAGCTCTGATCTTAATCTTTGACAGTGAAGTGGACCTAAACCACAGTTATGCTTGGATTTTGGGGTCCATCAGCGTGGTGTCCCTCCTGGAAGCATACACTACACAGATAGACAACCTCCTCTTGCCTCTCTACCTCCTGATACTGCTGATGGCCTAGCTGTTGTGCGGCAGCAATGGAGACAACAGGGATATGGGGAGGATGGATGGTCCCCGCAGCAGCCAGTTCCTTGGGCACGAAGAGCCAAGGGGTGAGAAGCAGATTTGATTTTCCAGTCGATTCATAATCAGAATAAAAATTAAAGCCCTCCTGGTCTTTGTTTTGCTGACTCAAAAAGGAAAAAGGCTTAAAGGATAGGGCAACAACTCAAAGAACTTCAGTGTGCTATAGGGCACACACACACACATACCCCCACCGCCCCGCACACACTTTGCAATCCTCAGAGGGGCTGGAGCGGACACTGGAGGCCATATTGCATAATGGTTAACACTCCAGGTTCTGTGTCGAACTAAATAGGCTGTACCATTTCTTAACTGTGTGGGTGGCTTAACCACTCTGGGCCTCAATTCTCCTGCCTGCATGATGGGAATAAAAAGAGCTCGCGCCTCACAGGGTGCTGTGAGGGTCTGGTGAGGTGAGGTGTGTTCAGTGTCCAGCCCAGGACCCAGACACCATGACCGGCCAGTAAGGGAAAGTGTCACTATTGCCCAAGGCCACTCCTCCTATGAGCAAGCCAACTATTGTGCTTTTATGGATTGCACTTGGAGACCAGAGAGACCTTGGCTTTATTTGGAGGAGAACCCAAGAGGAAAACAGCCAGATGCATTCTCCCAGCTGGGTTAGGAAGTGCCAAAGGGGAGCCGTGGGGGTGACTGACTGCGTGTGAGCATGGGCTGGGGAAGAGGAGCACGTTGCTCCCCGCTCCCCACCCAGCCGGGCAGGGAGGGGCCTAGCAGGAAGAGGTGAGAACCTTTGCCCACTGAGAGCGGAAGCCAGGACTGGACCTCTGGGGAGCTCGTGGAATCACTGCAACCACAACCTTTCCCTCAGAGGAAAAGACTGAGACATTCCTTTGGGGATCCAAGGAGAGAGGACAGACCCTTCCCTTCTCTCAAGACACCCTTCTGCTGGCTGAAGCAGGTGGCGGCAGAAGAGCAGCGGCTTTGCCTGGACTCGCTGTGGCCTCAGAAGGGGCTCTGTCCTCTGGGCCTTGGCTTGTCTGTGCATACAGTGGGGACTGGAGGTCAAGGTCACAAACTCATGCCCACTGAGGCCAGAGAGATGCTGCAGTGGAGAAGGACTGGAGCAGTGAGACGCAGAGCACACGTGCCTCAGGAGGCAGCTGCAGCCGGCTGTCAGCAGGCTAGACCACAGGCCCATGCTGTTGTCCTGTTCTTCCCAGGAAGCTGAGAAATCTGACAGGTGAATCTCCCGATTGTCAAGTCTTTATACCCCTAGCTAATGTAGCTCAGTGGATTGAGCATTGGCCTGTGAACTGCAAGTTCACCAGTTCAGTTCCCAGTCGCAGTACATGCCTAGGTTGCAGGCCAGGTTCCCAGTAGGGGGCGTGTAAGAGGCAACTGGTTGGTCAATGTTTCTCTCCCTCCCTTCCCCTCTCTCTAAAAATTAAATCTTTGAAAAGTTTTTATAGAAGCACCAAGGCCCAGACAGAACACATGTGTGGTCTGGAGTCAGCGAGTAGCCCCTGCTTGCAGGCCCAGGCCACACAGCCTATGGATTTGGTAGTTGTTCCTTTATTTCCTTTTCATTCAGTTTCTTGCAGTGACACTGGTTAACAAAATCCCACGGGTTTCAGGTGCTCAATTCCACAACGCGTCATCTGTATGCCGCATTGCGTGTTCACCCCCCAAGGATCTGATAGTTCTTGCAAAACATCTGGGTGCCTTGGCAAGCAGGCTCAAGCAGGAGGGGACCTACGGAGGCCCTCGTCCGGCCCAGAGAGAGGAAGGGTGTGGCCTAAGACCTGGAAGCTGTTTGGTCACAGAGCCAGGACCAGAGTCAGCGACTGCATTCCCAGCCCCGTCATCGTATGTCCCCCTCCCCAAGGTCCAAAGCACAGGATCTGCACCAGGCTGAGCTCACTGAACAGCTGTGTGACCCGGACAGGTCACTTGTAAACGTGGATGGTGAGAGCACCTCCTCCAAAGGTCCATCGGAGCGAGGACTCCATGAGACACACAACCCAGGCTCCTGACACAGTGAGCAAGTGCCCGCTCACCGTGACCTGCTGTTAGGAAACCGCAGGCCGCACCAGGCAGGGCAGGGGCACCTGGGATGACCACCATCAGGGCCCTCGTGTTGAGACCAGTGTACGTGGGACAGAAGGACCAAGAGGCTGCATTGCAAAGTCATCTTTATTCAGTGTCTTGCACCGTAATAGAGTTCTGTCTGGGAGGAGAGGAGAGTGAGCAGCCGCCGGAGAAGTAGCCAGGACCCTGCTGCAGGCGAGAAGCTGCCTCCAAGAGTGGCGATTTTCAGCCCGTTTGTTGCGGCACGAGGGTGCGCTGCGAGGGTTTTTAAAACGTGCAGTACATGACTATTTAGTCAAGGGGCGCCGACCTCTTTTCCCTCAGATTGTCGAATTTTAAAAAATGACAACAGCCAATACAACAAGAGCAGTCCAGTATGATGAATCAAAATTATATTTTTGTCAGATCCTCAAAACAATTTTTTTTTTTGGTGTGCCTCAGAATTGTAGTAATCAGTCTGTTTGTGCCGCGAGATGAAAAAAGTTGAAAATCACCGCTCCGGAGGGAGGTCGTATTTGGGGCGGGGGAGACACATCCTGGGAAAGGCACCCAGCCGGGCCCCTGCTGCCCGGGCGCCACCTCTTGCCTGCCTGTCTGCAGGGCCAGGGCCGAGGGGCGCAGCCACTGGCAGGAGGAGAGCCCGGGAGGAGAGATGTGGCTTCCCCGTTGCCGCTGGGCGGTCAGGCGAGGCGCTGGCATCCGCAGCCCACGGCATCCTGGGAGGGGACAGCGCCCGGCCCTGCGGGAGCCAGTTAGGTGTACAGCGGGGGAAAGGGCAGCTCAGCTGTTGGTTGGAGCCTGCAGAGGACAGAGATGGCCTCGAGGTGTCAGTGTCACCGCTCCCTCCAGCCTCCGGGGCCTCTTCGGGAGACTGGGACACGCCCTGCCTGCCACCTACCAGTTCTCCGGGCTCCACGTGGTGCCAGCGGACTCCATGAGGTGGAACGTGTAGGCCTGGCGTGAGCGGTTGGAGAGATTCTTCGCGCTCTTGTGTGCCACTTGTCCGTGGATTAGGACGAGGGCCCCTGGCAGGCACACAGCAGGTCAGGAAGGGACACGGGACCCTCCAAGACTCAAGCCCTTGTGTGGGCTACTCGTCCCCATTCCCACCCCTGAAAACCCGGGGGACTGCAGCCCGCCCCAGGACCCGAGGCTGTGCTGTGGGGCACGGGCTCCCCAGGGTCCGGTCCCTCCTCCCGCTGCGCCCTTGGCAAGCGTCAGCAAGGGCGTCGCCTTCTGTGGTGTTTACAGAACCAGGCGGAAGCTGTGCCAGTCGGCTGGGACCTTGCCTTTAAATGCTAACTCGGGCCTCCGTTTTCCCTTTTCCGAGGGGAAGAGGGGGCCCTGGTAGGTGGCATCTGCCACACGGCTTCCATGTAAACATCTTAGATACGACATCTCACTGACTTCCTGCTTTCCAGCTGCGGAACCGAGGCTCAGAGAGTCAGTCCTTGGCCCAAAGAGCCCAGAAGCAGCCGAGTCTGGAGTCGAGCCTGATTGGGATATTTTGCCCTTAATTTCGCTGCTGCTGCCGCCGCTGCCTAACTTCCCCACGCCCATTGACTGTCTCTCGTCCTGTGACTCACAGCCCCCAGGTGAGCGGTGAGGTCAGAGCAGGCGGAGACCCGCGGGCATGGCCGCAGGGCCCTGCCTTCCTGCCCCCTGCGTCCCGCCTACCTCTCTGCACCGGTGTGGGCACGAAGAGGTTGTCGTCCCAGTCCGGTTCTGACCCCAGGAACCTGGTGCCAGTTACCGAGCCAGCAGGGGCCCGCACCATCCTTCTTGTTACTTCACCTGCAGGCCAAGAAGGAGCATTCAGCCTCTTTTTTTTTTTTTTCCTGGGTCCCTCTCCCAGGGCGGGCGGGGTGTACATGGGCAGGGAGAAACGGGTGTCCTCACTGGTGTGGGAGCCAGGGATGAACCAGAGGCAGCCGTTCTCCAGCGTGGCGTCCTCCAGCGCGATCCATACGCCCAGCACCCGGCCCAGGGGCTCCGTGTACAGGAAGGTGGCATCCTGGTGAGGGGTGACTGCCGCGGGCCCAGCTGGGCATGAGGAGCCTGGCCCCCGTTTGGCCTGGGCCCTACTTCCCATGCCCTCCAGGCCCGGACCTCCCGTGATCGGTTAGGATCCACCGGTTCCTGGCCCAGGAACTCAGAACGAGAGACGTCACTTCTCGGAGCTTCGATTTCCTAAACGGTAAAGCGGCCCCAACAAGCACCGACCTCACTGCTAACAAGCTGCTGGAGGGTTCCACGAGGCGTGAAAAGGGCCAGGACGGGACGGACATTGTAATTACTTGCTAAAAGGTAGCTGCTATTAGTTTAATTAGCTCCAGCCAGGTAACAAGGCCACCGTCCTTGCTCAGGGACAAGCACCTGCAGTCACCAGGTGTTCTCCCCACTGGTGTAAGATGGGAGTTGAATGCAGAGTGGGGGGGGGGCTGCTGACCAAGGGACCTTTGTCGCAACAACCAAGGAAAGGGGGTGCTGCCGCCCGCTCCTTCCTCCCTGGGGCACCGTGTGTTGTCTCGGCACCAAACTTCAAAAGCGACACTGCCGATCCGACAGCCTCCAGAGGAAGGCGCCCTAATGGGAGGCGTTTCAAAACATGTACAGGAGGAATGGCTGAAGGAAGCAGGGGTGCTGGACTTGGGAAGGGGATGGCCATACCTTCGGGGACCGTCCTATGGCTAAATGGGGGGAGGGGAGGTCACAAGGAGGCCAGCTTGGGCCCATGTAAGGAAGGAAAGGGCTGCCCGTGAGGGGGTGAGCTCCCTGCCACTGGGGGCATTTGAGCACAAGTGGAGTCACCCTTGAGGGAGGCCATAAAGAGTGTCAGTGCACCCAGTGGGGTTTGGAACTAGATCATCCATTTCCATGCCGAATCAGTCCTCCAAGGGCTGATCAGTTGTTAAAATACAGATTCCCAGGCCCTGGCCACCTCATTGACTCATGAGCTTGGGGGACGGGGGCCCGGGAATCTGTGTTTTAAACCAGCGAGGAGTGGCGACCAGGTTCAGGAACCCCTGGGCCAAGGGA